ACATACTATATATATATATATATATATATATATATATATATATATATATATATAATGCTTACCATTAACTCTTCACTAGATCCTCAATAATGTTCCTAATCAATATTTTATGCTAAAGATACACCCTTATTCAATAAAATCCCACTAATAATGTTACTACACAAAGGATACAAAACAAGACCTCCTAATACAGACCCACAAACATGTGTATATAATGCTGACTAACAGATTCCTACCAGACCTTAAACATTACTATAATAAAACACAATTCACTCACACTTTACCAGGCCTAACAATTTAAATATATCTATATGCTACCCATTAAGAATGTAACTAGAAATAATGCTATCTTACAGACTCTCTCTAGAGATCAGTCCTAACTACATAAAACACCATCTACTACATCCTTCATTAGACCAAACAATGCACCATACCCAACATTATTCACAGACTTACTTCCACAAAATTATCAACCTAACTCCACAAAGCACCCTCTACTGGTTAATGACTAGAACTACTGAATGAACATCTTCTTCAATATGTAGCCTACTTATTTTTTTTGTAATCATTTATAACTGTTTATGTATTCATTATCTCTTTATGTAAGTTTCTCATCATTGCAAATTTGGTCATTCTGATATCTCTGGTACACAGTGGGAAGTCTGGCTTGTTCCATTCCTTCCCCTCTCCCCAGCTCTGATGCTGTATGCTATTCCTTAGTTTATATATGTGAATTACTGGACAAATATTTTAAAACAATAATTCTAAATACACAAATATTCAATAAAAGATATAACACATTGTTTTTGCTGGAATAAATCTCTCAGTTTGGTAAGGTATAAATCCTACTCTGGTAAACAATAAATTGTAATAAGCTTACAATACCCCTCACAAATGAAGGTTGTTCATCCTCAGGAGCCATTGACAGAGACCAATATCAGTGTTTGATTTACCCATTCATTTATGCAACATATAACTTACCTCCTTGTCATCTGTAATTGACAACCCAAAGTGTGAAGAAAAACATCACTTGTGAAACTGAAAGGTGAAATGGCCAGATGGTAGACCAGGAGGATGTGAAGAACTAATTTACAATAGGGGGGTCTATGTATCTGCTGTGAGTTACGTAAGCTCATAAAAAACCCTCTAAAATCCATCAGATTACTACATTAACTTGCATTTACTCATTTGTGACTTTTTTTTTATGCATTTTAACTACTGCACAGTTAGAATTAAAATGTTTAAACATTCAAATGTAATTTTGGCAGAATGATCCCCAAGAAACATCAACAAAAAATAGGTCACTCCAAGTATTAACACCATACAATGAAGCACATCTTGCAGGCTAATACAGCAGATTACTACTTTCAACAGTTCCTCAAAAGAACACTTTATTCACTATAAAAAACTAAGAGAAATCCAGTTTTACATCAGAATTGTTTATCCATTATCTGATAGACAAATTCTTTTATAATAATTTTTACAATTATGAAGTTATAACAGTCCAATACACATTATATGTATGCATCTATGCATCTCTGTGCATAACTAAGTAGACTTCATTAGGACATGTTCCTCAATATCCATACATTTCACAATATGTATACACAACACCAATGGAAAGAAATTTTTTACTTACATGTGCTATACCATTTACTGCATACCCGGAATTGACAAACCCCTGAAAAAACAAAACAAAACCTTAACACACAAAATCAGACACTTAAGAAAAATTAGGTCTCTATTATGCTTTACTTATACTTCTTAACACTTATAAACAACATTATTCTTCTATCAGTTCCAAACCTTTAGATTAGGAGGGTCCTTTTCTATTTGATATAGTAGCTGTAAAGTAATTTTCCACAAGAATACTCATTAGTGAAAATGAAGAAAAAAAGGACAATGAAAATGACATATGATACATAATCCTATTCACTAAAAAAATAGGTATATTTTGATCAATAAATGCACCAAAAAACCAATAGCATGTAACCTCCCTCTTAAATATTTTCAACATCAACAAATTAACCTATTTCTATGCAAAATGATTTAGTATGTCCAATGAATACATTTCATGGCAGGAGTTTTATATTAATTTTTTTAACTATCAAAGTTCCACATTTTTATTGAGTTACACCATCATACTAAAACCACAAATATGTTAAAATATACTGTCTGTTTTAGCTATAGAGAGTAGTGGAATTTGGCCAGAATGAGCCAGAACACTGTGGTGGGAGAGAAAATGTGACCCCAATGGTGTTCCAGAAGGAATTAGGAACAAGTTTGCATTTATAAACAAGTTTTTGTTGTTCTAGCACAGTGCCCCCCTTGTGTACTGGCTGAAAGGCTCTGGCTATACCCCTGTACTCCACCAGCCAAAAGAAGACCCCCCCCCAGTTTTTTTTTCCAGTTCTACCATTGACTATAGTAACACAGCCAGTCAAATTGTATAGATATAATACTGTTTCTTCTCTTATCTGTCTTAACTATACAAACACAACCAGTACAAATTGTATAGATATCAATACTGTTTCTTCTCTTATCTGTCTTAACTATACAAACACAACCAGTACAAATTGTATTGATACAATACTGTTTCTTCTCTTATCTGTCTTAACTATACAAACAACAGCCAGTACAAATTGTATTGATACAATACTGTTTCTTCTCTTATCTGTCTTAACTATACAAACACAACCAGTACAAATTGTATGGATACAATACTGTTTCTTCTCTTTATCTGTCTTAACTATACAAAAACAACCAGTACAAATTGTATTGATATAATACTGTTTCTTCTCTTATCTGTCTTAACTATACAAAAACAACCAGTACAAATTGTATTGATATAATACTGTTTCTTCTCTTATCTGTCTTAACTATACAAAAACAACCAGTACAAATTGTATTGATATAATACTGTTTCTTCTCTTATCTGTCTTAACTATACAAAAACAACCAGTACAAATTGTATTGATATAATACTGTTTCTTCTCTTATCTGTCTTAACTATACAAACACAACCAGTACAAATTGTATAGATACAATACTGTTTCTTCTCCTATCTGTTTTAACTATACAAACATAACCAGTATAAATGAGTGCAAATCTAACACTGTTTCTTCTCTTTATTGCAATAGTAAAATACAAAGTGGCCAAATGAAAATTTTAATGGAGTTGTGGAAGTTGGTATGTATTGCACTCAACAACAGAATGATATTTAGCCGAGTCCTTTAGCCTTTGTATAACCTTTATTCATATAAAGTAGATCACTAAGTAATAATTTAGATTATTTCACATTTCTACAATAAAACTAACAAACTTTGAGAAACAACACAACTAATTTTGGAGTAAAAACAACTATGAACAAGTTATGGAAACTGTTATGCTTAATAATATGTGAAAATTGGGTAAGAATGTGTATAGTTAGGTGTATAGTTAGTTCACCAAGTCTATATCTATAAACCTTACAAACACACCAGTAAATACTACAGAAGTTATTAAATCAATCCCAGGATATCTGTGGGAACACTGAAGCTCCTCCTATAAAAAAAAAATGCTTAAACTTGTATTTTAGACACAAATATTATCATCTCATAAATAAATTGATAAACGATTCAAAATATCAACAATGCTATACCATGTTATTACAAAATAACTTTTGAAGTGGGCTCTTGGATATGGGGTATATAAGAAGTCAATCAAAACATTGACAAAAAAATATATGAATAGTGAAATCTAAAAACTGCTTGACTGGTATTTTCCTGTAATTCATTTACCTTTATTCTAATTTACTCGTCAGATTACAGATTCATTCCAAAACAAGATGATGTAATATGTGCAATATAGATGAAAATGCATGCACCAATTTCATTGCAAAGACAATGTCTGCAGCCTCCAATGAAATTATTTAGATGAGAACCTACCAGTAAATACACAGTAACAATAAACTCTTGTAATTTTAGATTAAAGAATTTTCCATCCCTTAGTTAACTAGTTTTTCATTTGTTTCGTCCACCTCTCCATCAGTTAATCATTTTGTGTCAATTTGTCCCCCTCTCCTTCAATTAATGTCAGTTATTTTGTCTCTTGTTTCTTAACTTTGTCAATCTGTTAGTTCTCTAGTACACTTGACCGCCAATTAATTACTTTATCGATAGTTTCATTACTTTATCAGTTGAATAATTACTTTATTGGTAAGTTAATTACTTTATCAGTTGAATAATTACTTTATTGGTAAGTTGATTACTTTATCAGTTGAATAATTACTTTATTGGTAATTTAATTACTTTATCAGTTGAATAATTACTTTATTGGTAGTTTAGTTACTTTATCAATTGAATAATTACTTTATCGGTAATTTAACTACTTTATCAGTTGAATAATTACTTTATCGGTAATTTAATTACTTTATCAGTTGAATAATTACTTTATCGGTAATTTAATTACTTTATCAGTTGAATAATTACTTTATCGGTAATTTAATTACTTTATCAGTTGAATAATTACTTTATCGGTAATTTAATTACTTTATCAGTCCATCAGTTTCACATCGATCCACCCATTAAATAATATCTTTAATAGTTTCGTTAATCCAGTACGTTAGTTAACCAGTTTTTCTGATTATCATCCTATTTGTCCAGTTATCCAGTAAGTTTCTTTTCCATCTGTTCGTCAGTGACTCACGTCTAGGTATACCTTTTTAATCGATCATATTTTCTTTTCTCCGACTTTTTTCCCTTTATATATGTGTGTGTGTGTGTGTCATTCAGCTTTCCATCACTCTATCCGTTATTTAATCTATATTCAACTTTCCATTTGTGTTTGCGGCAGTTTTCAAGTCAATACTAGAGGTCTCTGGTATTTCTAGCGTCAAAGCTGCTATGTTTTTTTATGAGTGAACGGTACCATATTTCACCCACTTTTTCACCCCCTGTATCTTTGTATGTTGGGGGGGGGAGTAATTTTACACGAACTTGACGCAGCTGATAAAAAACGAGTTAGTGCGAGAAAAACGTGGTATGTTTCTTTGTGTTTAGATGATAAGCATAAAAACGTGTTCCTTTTCTTCTTCTATACAAAACGCACGTGGATCTTTTTTTAGCCGCAGCATAGAGGCTCATAGAATGGCTTCGAGTTTTTTTGTCTAGAACAAACTTTTAGCTCATAGCTCCATCATCTCTTGGCCGATTTGAGACCTACTTACAGTTTTGGACTCAGAAGTTCAAACCATTTTGATTGATGTATTTGACCACGCCCAAGGTCTCGTAGATTAATTTACTCCAATCCTGCCTAGAAGAATTTCAATATGAGGGTAGGCTGGTAGAGATCCTGATGAGTAATAAAATCGAATCGGGTAAACGCGCGCCCCACGCTTGGTATTGCCTGCGCACAAAAACATAGTTAATACAAAGGAAAATAAATGTCTCATAATTTACTCTAATTCTGTCTCAAAGAATTTCAAGTGCCGCGGTTATTGAGGATTCCTTTTTGTTTTTATTACGAACATCTACAAAGTTTAACATATTTTTACAATAAATATAAACGAGACAAGTTGAGATTGTCCAATATTAGGGCCACACTAAACCAGATAAATAATATTTGAACAATTATGGGTGAGTACAGATAGATAAAAAAAAGTAAACACAAATCCATAATCTTCATTCTATGTTGAAGCCTACCTTCCCCCGAAAAAATTATTTCGACACGTCTGTGAAGTACCTTAAACACAGGCACAAGTTTTGGTTTTGTTTCGTATATTCGCAATAAGCTATACAAGGTTTACCTGTTCTAGTCATCCCTAATTTTGAACAGATAAGACTAGATGGAAAGCAGATAAGTAAACCGAACCGGTCAACAAGTTTTTGGGCTACTCTAGTCGAATACTGGGATTTACCCGTCACTCTTATACTGCACCTACAGCCCAAATGTACGGAGCGCGAATTAGCGGCAAACGAACACGAAAGACCCTCGGTTTAGGATTTATAGTACGGCATGTTAACCATAAGACCATTATTTAGCCTAATACACGCTGAGGTTAAAAAAATTGAAAACATAACTTTTTGAAATCATTTTAATTCGAGCAAAAACTGACGAAAAACAAGTTAGATATATTATGTAGTTTTCTCTCTATCTCTCACGCACACGTTGTCAAGATCGCGTCACCGGAAAAAAGAAGAAATTAAAACCACCTTTTTTTTTAACAGCACAGGGACAAAATATTCTGACAAAAATACTACACATAAAATGCTAAGGGTCGAACTTAATAGTTTTCTCTCACGTGAAAACATTACCAACCATATAACCAAACACACGTGTTCACGATAATATAAATTACAGCCTGAAAGTCGTGATAAAATCGATAAAACTGTGAAATCATTATTCATGCAAATTCCTAGACTGCGACACCCATATTCATTTCTATACGCTGGCGAACTATGAAATACACCGAGAAAAGGTTTACCTGTAAAAAATCATGAAATATCCCTAATTAATTATCATTTACTTCATAAATTCGTCGTTTTTTGTCTCATCCACAATCAATAAATTCTGAAGAACTTCTCTACATCCCACGACTTGTGTATCTTGGAGAACGTATTCCTTGAGTCGTGGTTTAGGTTTTGATTTGTTTTTAAGTGAATGGACTGACTATTAAATACTGTATTCAGTGCAAAGTTGATG